TGTGTTCAAGATTCTCAGGCTGTAACAGATCTCGACCAAAGACAGGGCTGGGATTGATTAGCAATGTCTGCTGTGGGCCCAGGCCAAGGAAAGGCAGCCTGTGTGCCAATATTGGTGAGCTCACCCTTGGACCCACTCCCCTCTCCAGGTTCACTCCTCACTCCTTCCACTGTCTGAGCTCTTGTTGCTTTCTGCCCTCTCTTCCACCTCTGCGTTTCGTGTTCTTTCTCCTCCTTCCTCATTGCACTGGACCCCCAGGGACATCAGGGTCAAGGCCTAAACCTCAGAGACTCTTGGGGTCCTGGCAGGCAACCACCTTTGCCATCTGCACAGCTATCTTTTTTTCTTTCACTCTTCTATATCTACCTCTTCCTGCCTTCCTTTGAGAGATCTCACCTGGGGTGATGACTTCAGACGCACTGGCACGTGAACTCAACTCTGCTCTTTAGTTTTTAACAAACGTTTATTGTGCACCTACTGTGTGGAAGGTCCTGCATGACCAAGTTGAGGCCGGCATGGCCCCTGCCCTCAAGGAGCTCACAGTCTGGCAGGGGAGGTGTGACTGGCACCAAAGGGGTCACAGGATAGAAGTATGTGCAGGGACACGGGCGCCTCATCCAGGCTGGGCACAGGGGAAGCTTCTGGAGGAGATGCTGCCAGAGCTGAATCTTGAAAGATGAGGAGACGGGAGCCTGAAGAGGACAGGGAAAGGTATACAGGCAGAGGGAACAGCGTGAGCAAAGGCATGGAGGTGGGATGTGCTGCACTGGGTGGCTGGCCTAAAGCCCGGGACCTCCCTGCTTCCCGCCCGCAGCTGCGTCTTTCACAGACACATAGCGCTGATGTAGGCAGCACTAGACCGGGAGTGAGATCCACTGACTCACTGAGGGGCCCGAATAAGCCGGTTGGCCTCTCTGGGTAACACAGGGTAGTGATTCTTCGCCCCAGGGGCTACGGACACGCCCACTGTGTGTAAAGAACCTGCAGTCTCAGTACCTGCCTCCCTCCCACGCCTCCTCAAAGAAATTCTTTCCCAGGGTTCTCATTGGTTGAGAGGTGAGCCACGCCCAGCCAATCACCGTGGCTGGGGGAAACCTGGCTCTGATTGGCCACACCTGAGCTCTGAATCCACCTCTAGGCTGAGCTGGAGTTGGTGCTCCCAGACCACAGGGGCAGAGAGGGAGGTGGTCTCCCCAGACCGCACTGCCACCAGCCTAACCGCTTGCTTTCTGGACTGTCATGCGGCAGCAACCCACAGTGCTAGCTGAGCACCTGGCTTGGGGATGAGTGCTGGGGACACAGGGAAGATGTCAAGACCCAGGCTCTGCTTCAAGGAGTTCACTTCCACCTGCAGGTCAAGACCATGGAAGGAGAGTGTAGGGTGAGGAGTGTGGGTGCTGGATGGACAGACCAGGAAACCCTCCTTTTACCCCCCTCCCCGACCAAGAACCCTCCAGAGGCCCGGCTCCCAGGCTTGTTTCTCTTGAGTCCAAAAGGCCATATGTGTGGGGGGGGGGGCGGGGGGGGAGTAAAGGAAGAAATGGCCTTTGGGAGTGGTCTGTGGCTATTCGTGGCACTGTGAACTTGGGGTCAGAAGGCAGCTGGGTCCTTGAAGGAACGCAGGACAGAAGCCAGGAGGAGGTTCAGTGCTGGTTCTGGATCCGAATTGCCTGTGTCCCTGGGCACGTGATCCTCTCCCGTTGGAAGTGGTCCCATCTGTAAAACAAGCGGTTTGGACTAGTTTATCTCTGAGGTCCCTTCCAATACGCACACAAAGCTGCTCCGTTTTCTTGAAAGGTTGTATGTAAACTGAATAAAAGTGGCTCCCTACAAAGCTTGGAATCTGTGGGTGGAGAGCATCCCATGCCCCGCTCCCGCACCTGCCAGCGAAGACAGCTTGGACTTTCCTACGAGGCGTTGACTCAAAGCGGGGCGACCTGTGGGTCGGAGTCCAGTGCCCCCTGGTGGCGTCCAGGCGGGCAGGCTGCTTCCGGACGGCGTAGGCCCGACGGCTGTGACTCAGGGGTGGCGCCGCTGCAGGGCGGCGGGAGGCCCGACTGGGGTTCCGCCGTGGGCCGAGCCACGGCGCAATTAATTACCAGCTGCTGGGAATCCTTGTCGCCCGCTCGCGGTGACTCACCGGGCGGCCAGGCTCATTCGCCGAGCGCGGGGGCCTCGGTTTCCAAAACGAATTCTGGGGAGAGCGGCTGCTAGGGGTGGGGCTCCCCGCCCCCGCGGGCGAGTTCAGACCCAGTGGAGACCGGGCGGCCCAGACGTCGCCCACGGCAGGGGCCCCCTTCCCTGGTGCGCCCGGGGCGCAAGCACCCGCGAGTCCCCAAAATGTGATGGAGAGCATCCCCGCCGGGGAGCCTCCGTGGGTCCCTAGACTCGCTCGACCCAGACAGAATCCTGTGGGCGGGGAGCCCAAGCACGGCCCGAGGGGGCGACCCACAGGGGTCAGGGCTCCCGGAGCGAGCTGCGCGAGGGTTGAGTATAATTCCCTGGCCTACCCACCTCATAGTCCATGGCTAGCCTCTGCCCCGTTTTTCAGCCCGCCGCCAGTGGGGGAGGGCGCCCCTTTCCCCAAGTCTCCATCTCTTTCTTGGCTGGGGTCCAAGGGAGATCGCCTGACCCAGGGAAGTGGAGCCCGGGGGTCTCCGCCACTTGCGCTTGCCCCTTTCGTGCTCCATTGCTCAAGAGGCAATTAAAGGGGCCGATGGTTGAGGGAAACCCCCTCGACGACCCGAAGGGAGATGGGGGGGGAAGAGGGCAAAGGAGGCTGAAAAAGAAAGGGGGTAAAGCCGAGCGAGGACCCCTGTCTGGACTCAGGGAATAGCTACGCCCAGGCCGAGCCTCGGGTTTCCTCCCCAGGCTGGTCCCGAGAGGCGCCGTCGCGCAGTGCGGGGAGCAGGGGGGAGGGTCAGGGTTGAGTTCTGGGTGCACCCCGCGCCCAACCTCGGGGAACCACGGAGTGTTCCTCGGAAAAGCAACAGGAAGCAGACAGGGAAAGGGGAATGCGGCGTCCTCCCCAGCGGCCCCGATCCCAAGAGTGGCGGTTCCTGTCATCCTCAGTGCCCTTCCAGGTCGGCCGGTGCTGGGCCCACCGGCCGGCGATGCTCTCCGGGTCTGACGCGGCCCTTGGGACCCCAGCACGCGACGAGGAGGTGCCCCAGGCCAGTGACACGCACCCGTGCCTGGGCCAGGTGGCTGACCCTGGGGGAGCCGCGCGCCGCCGCGCTCCCGGGAGCCCACCGACCCTCCCCTCGTGCTCCCACCCTCCGCCGGATTTCCCCTCTCCCTTAAGCTGCCTGTCTGCCTTCTCCGGCTGGGCTGCATCCCGTTTCTTCTCCTAACCCCGGGTCCCTCAAACTCTCCGCCTCTCGTGGTTGCATGTGCTCTCTCGGGGAGCTGGCCTAGAACGGCCCAAGCAGCCTCATTTATCCTCCCATCCCCCGCCAAAACCTGCTGGTGGCTCCGCCCCCCACCCCCTCTCGGGCGACACCCAGTCCTCGGCCCGCCTCCGCCCCCTCCCCGGCTGCACCGGCCGCCCCTCCCGAGCTCCCTTCGCGTGCGCCCTGCGCCGCGTTCGGTCCGCAGCGGGAGCCGCCGCGGCAGCCTCGCCAGCTGGCTGGTGACCAGGCGGGAGGTGGCGCGCCCGGGAGGCTGCGGGAGGGAGGGAAGAAGGGAGGGAAGAAGGGAGGGAGGGAGGGAGGCCGGGCCTCGGCTTAGCCCGGCCCCCGCCCCCCGTGGCCCTCCCGCTGGAGCGGGGCTGCCGCGCGCGCGCCCGCACGCACACACACACACACACACACACACACACACACACACACACGCCTGCCCGCGCGCACACACGCGCGCGCGCGCATACACACACACGCGCGCACACATACACACACACGCGCACACACACACACAGGCACACATACGCACAGACACACGCACACACACTCGGGCTCCCTCCGGCGCGCACGCACGCAGCGCTCCAGGCAGAGCGGCGCTGCGGCCGCCTCCCCGGACGCCCGGACGCCGGAGGGCCCCGACCCCCGCGC